ACACAAGGAAAGTACCACCTGGCATTTTGTATTCACAGGTGCAAATCTATAATGGCTGCACAGAGCCTTCCTTAGTACCTAACAGGAAAAAAACAACCAGGAGAAGAAAGGTTCTGTCTAAACCCAGTGTGTGTAACTCTCTAGAGGCCTGTATTAAAACCCAGCTGTAGTTCATAATAGAAAAAGGTCCAAAGGTCACATCCAAAGCCTTCAAAGAACTCAATGCTGGCACCAGAGGGTTTGCCAGGACTACAGGAGGCTGGAAAAGTGCCTGCACCAAGGAAGCCTGCAGATGATTCCCAGAGTTAAAGGGAGAGAAGAGTGTGTGAGGGTTTAAGATTTTTTTGGTGGATTTTTGTGTTATTTTATTTTCTCAGTTCCTTTAGTTTTGCCTGAAGTGGTGAGGGCTACATAGGATAAGGAAACCAATTGATCTCTGGGACTCCCACATGAGATTATGAAGATTAGATCTAGCACAATCAGCTCCCACTTTACAGCCTCCTGTAGTCTTCAGTGTGGGGACAGGGAAAGGAGTACTGAGATGGACTTACTTTTACAGCTTTTAGTCTTTTATTTTTTTAAAGTCTGAATAAACGAAAACCCTTTATCATGCAAATCTACAGTTACCATATTTATGAAGCCATGCAGCCTACTTGCATCATTTAATTACTTATATAAAATACTATCTGAATGACAGTTTCAAGCTGCAGCTCTTGCTGTGAAACAAAGCAGCTAAACAAATGGGAGTTTAGATCAAGAATTGGAAATATTGGGCAGTACAAGGCAGGACAGATCTTTACAAGTGCTTATAGAATTACTGCAGTAGATACAGCCAGATGGTTTTCCTCCCTTCCACCTGCTGCACTACAAACACATCAAAATATGCACTTCTGCGTAAACAGTGATAGAGAAGAACAGTATTGATAGAACTGTTCCAGCTTGAGACTCAAAAAGAGAAAGGGGTTACCCTGGCAAGACCTGGAAGTGGAGATAAAGTGTCAGATAAAGCACATTGCCACAAACAGAACTGATGCAACTGCATGCTAGAGAAGGGGATCAAATTATGAAAAAAAAATCAGTCTGACCAAATTATTCTTAAATATTTACCTTAGATACTAAAAAATAAAGTACCATGAATAAAAAGGGATCAGACTCCTATTTTCTCTCATATTCAATATGTAAATTGCAAAATATTTCAGGATAAATCAGTCAGCTTTAGAGTAATGCAAGGTCAGCAGAGGTCCCAGGGAGACCAGAGCTGCCCTCCTCTAAGCCACCAACACTATCTGCAGCATTGGGTCACAGGACAGGCTTTATAAGAGCATCAGCTCTAGCTGCTTGCTTGGCTTGGGAGTCTCTGGAAAAAAGCAGTTGCAGATGGACATGCTTACAGTTGAAAACACAAAGAAAGATGAGGGAAATGTCATCAGAAACACAATGTAAGTCCTCTATTTATATAGCTAGTGACTGGCCCGTATTCCTGCAATCTGGATTCTCACAGCTTTTACTTCAGTTTTATAGCTTTGAGGTAACAACACACATGGAGGTCACCATCTTCATATTATGGTTTTTTGTTACCAGTAGAAAATAAATAAATGATCACAGAGCAAACCACAAGAGTGACCTGGGTAAAATCCCCTTTCCTGAATCCTAGGCTGGTCCCCTAACTGTTCTCCCTTGGAAGTTAACGTTCAGGTATATTGTGGTAAGGAATGAGATGGGCTGTTCAACATACCCAAGATTACTCTCTGTGTCACCAGAATGTCTGTGTTCTTGGACACAATAGCTCCTGAGAAGGGGGGCCAAATGTCCATGAGGTCTGATGGCAAGGTGGTCAGCTTGTTGCTGGATAGGTCCAGGTAGGTGAGGTTTCTCAGGAAGCGGCCAGCATCAGCGGGAATGCTGGTCAGCTTGTTGTTGTGGAGATCAAGAGTCCGTAAATTGGGCATCTCAGCCAGGGATTCCCAAGGGAAAGTTGAGAGCAGATTACCATCCAGCCTGAGCTCATGCAGCTGTTTCAAGTTATAGAAGCTGCTGATATCAATGTTGGCTACACAGTTGTAAGTGACCCACAGGTACTTGAGATCTACCAGGTAGTAAAAGGCTTCAGTCGGAATCCTTCGTATGACAGTTTTCTCTATACGAAGCTTTACAGTATCCACAGGAACATTCACTGGGATCTCATACATGTCAGGGTCATTACAGAGTACAGACCTAGCAACAGGGAAGGAAAAATAAAGAAAAAAAAAAAAGAGGGAGAGAGACATATTTGCATTTATTTAGCAGAAATTTGAATTTCAGATTTAATGCAAATGCTGTAGCTTTCTGCAACACTACAACAGAACAAAGAATACAGAAATCAATAACAGTCCTCTGCATTTAAAAGTTGAAGAAACTCCACAAACATGGAGTCTCTAAAGACAAAAAGAATACAAACCAGAACTGATCCTTTCACATGAAACCTAGATTTGCTTTATTCTAAAGTATATAAGCACCACCCTCTATCCACCCCTCACTCTACTGACAACTGAAAGACAGAAGCCATTGTACAAGGAATAATACATGCACATGTCTCAAGTGGGAAATGCGTGCTCCTAATTAAAAATATTAAAATTCAAAATTCAGATTACTAATCTCTAATTTTTCTGTATGATGAGGAGGCAAAGTATTTTCCATACTTACCTTTTGGAATCAACTGAAAATTTTAAATATACCAAAGAAAATACAGTAAAGAAGAGCTTTCTTGCCCTCTTGTTGATGTCTATGTACAAATTACTTGCTTTATAGAAATGAAAAGAACTTTCTGCTCACAATGATTTCAGTGAAATGGGATTTCTCAGTATTTTCAGTTATTTGATTTCAGGAAACAATTTCTTTGGGGTATATTGTTTGCACATACTAGCTTGAAAGATCCTCTGCTTTCAATAAGTCTATCCTTAATTTATTCCCCCTTTTCTCTAGATTATTTCTCTATTTTACTTTTTCCTCATGCAGCTTTATTCCAGATAGTCTGTGACAATAAATAGTAATGACAAAGAGCATCTCCTAAAATTGACACGACAATACCAGGTCACCACATTTCAAATTAATCTTCTTACTATCAAAATTTACATAATTTACTGCAGATTAAAAAAAAAGAAAAAGAAACTACTGTATTTATTTAACCAGAATGCTTACACTAGTTAACTAGTTTGTAGAAATAGAAAGGACATTGCAATAGTAGGAATATCATGGAGAAGAAAGAAATTGCCTCCTGCAGAAAATGAAGGTTTAGAGTAGCTATTTGCTAAGTACAAAGCCATAATCACCATCTGCTCCTGTTCAGGAATGCTGCTAGCCATTGAGTGCTAATGTAAAAAAAGCTTCCTTGCAACTATGCTAGAAATAACTTGCAATGTCTGAGAATGTTATCTCCAATTTCTTCAACACTTTTTCTTATAAATGGCCCTATATTACAAATAATAAAATATATACCTTGTTCCAGTGCCATCACTTCTGCCATGGTAAACGCAAGTGCATTGTGAAGGACAAAAGCCATGAACTTCTTCAAAAAAACTCATTAGGAGGTAGAAGCAAATAAACAGATACATGGCTTCCTCCCAGAAGAACTGACATGAAGAAATGTGAAAGCTTTACTCCTAGGCATTCATGTGCAGTGTGCTACAAATGTGAATGTAGCCATCCATTTAGTAACAGCAGATTACAACAGATTAGCCCAGATCTGTGGTTGCTTAACCTTCAAATGTATCCTGAATGCCATCAGTTAAAGCAGCTCACTCTTTACTCTGTCAGAGCACACTGCTTCAAATCACATCCAGCCATGTTCCAAGGTTGTTTTAATGTGCAGATTGTAAAGTTAGTGTGTAATAAAATATCTCTTTTCCTTCTAAGAGGCAGTGCATACATTATACTGTCTATAAAGTGTTCCAAAGTTCCTGAAGGAAATCTAGTACACCATGAGGATATTGCATGGCATTTTCTTTAATACTGAAAATGGCAAATTCATAGGAAGACTAGATTTCAGAGCTTTTAAAAAATCCCGTAAAAACAGGGTTTTGACAAAAATACATATATCCTTTAAGTTTTACACTGCAAAGCCAAACTGCATATGCACACACACATAATAGTTGAAGCTAAACCTATACAGTCATCTTTTTCACCCTGAACGAATCCATTGCTCATACTGACAAAGGTATTTCTTGAAAATCAAACATCAGACCTACATAAACATAAGACTGATTTGGAAGTCATGAAATATTACCATAAATATTTACTCAGTTTTATGCACCACCCAAGTGAGAAGCTTTAGGGTACATTTTGACACATTTTCAGGATTTGCTGTGCAGTCACAAGCACTAGAAAGAAACATGCTACTTACCAAACAAAAGCTGTCTTTACTACAAATTAATTTGGTTCTACCAGTCAAATTTTTAAAAATACTTTAAATATGCTGAAATTCCTTCAAAACCCTAAAACCAAAAACAAATATTTACACTATGGGATCAGTGTAGATATTTTGACACCCTAACATATTCACAGAAACAGAACTTGGCAAAGCATATCAACATGGACAATTGGTATGGACATATACCAAGTCATATAGCCATAGGGAGTATTCAGAATATTTGAAATCTGAAAAACTTTCAAGGGAACCTGGTGGAAAGTACCTCATGAAAGGAATTAATACATAAGAAAAATCTGGGGCTATTGAACCTAAGAACTTCGCAGTTCTGTCTTTCCTGGCCCCTCTGTCACCTTGTCTAGCTCTGTAAGAGTCACAGTGGCCACTTTGCTACCCTTTTTTGTTTGGGACAGATATATTGGACCAATAAACCTCACTCTCAAAAGCTAAAGTCTTGGCAGGTTTTGTCTCCTTTCCTTCTCTAAAAAGATTACTGTGACTAACACAAACCAGCTAGCTAGGAAAGATTATTATTCAAAAAGAAATTGTCCAAAAGATGAATTAACTTGAACCCAGATTTCACTCCTTTCCATGTAACTTATGCAGGCAAATGACTGGAGTTCTGCGATGTCAGTGCACTTTGAGATACACTCATGGGCAAAGCATTGTTTATGGTTATCTCTTGCCTTGTCTGACAGCGCACCATTGCCAGGATCGCCCTCCGAAACCTGCCAAGGGCAAAAAAAGGGGAAACAGAAAGATCAGAGATTAGCTGGAGAACCAAAGAGGAGGGAAAATTTTGGTAAGATGGTCTTAACTGTTGCAATAGTTCTCAATTTTAGTAGAATGGACTTAATAAAAAAACATGTATTTGGAATTCAAAAGGACCTGGGTCTTTTACACTTCCAGGTACAGGAGTGTAAAGCTAATTTCATTTCTTAAATAAGGATCACAGCAGCTTTTGTTTATCCCAGGAGAGCGTACAGCCATAACAAAGATGAACTCACAGAATGGGAAAAAACAGATGTTTTTCCATTGACTCAGCAGGTATGTGCACCTAGGCAGAGTTCACAGGCTCTGCTTGAAGGTTGGTGGCAGAGATGGGAAGAACGCCTCTTTGCAAAACACAGTCCTCAGTCAGAGGCACTGGCTTGATTAGAGCATTTGTTATGCTTGCTCAAATCAGAATAGGCTTAACCTATTTACTTTAATGAAAAGGGTCAATCCATCGTAATCCATTGGAATATGATACATCCCAAATCAAACACGAAAATCTACACCAGCTACATGTCACTAAGACCACACACTTTGGCCACAGTCAATAAAACCAGTTTACTAGTGATGCAACCTAAATTCTGTACTGAATCCCCTTGAGAAAACACAAGTGGGACTTTCAAAAGCTGTGTTAGTATGTTCTCAAAAATATGTATCAATTCAGGATGTTGTGATGATGATGATAACAATTTAGTTTAGGCTTTCCTGTCCAAAAGGTTATCTTCAGTAAATTAACAGCGCCGTACCCTTTGCTCTTCACTAATCAGCTTGCCATGTTTTACAGGTGATCCTTCTATACTCAGATGATATGCTAAAATCATGAAATAGACATATTTCAGAAAACTTACTTTTTGTTTGCAATGACATAAATGCAGGGGTTATAGAATGTGGAAGATTTTGCAAAGAGAGGAGCTATGATGGCCATTGCAGGAGAAATTTTCTTTGGGTCTCCAAAGGAAGCCCACAAACACACAATAGAATATGGAGACCATGCCACCAAGAACATTATAATCATCACAACAGACATCTGTAAAACGAGAGGAACAGATACATAACCAATATTATCTCAAGATGAAGACCTCACAGCAAAACCTCATAACAAAAGCACACACCTAGGTGAAAACAGAGCTATCCTGAATTAAATAACATATAAACAAGCATGCCTGACACATTCTGGCATTTTACACTGAAATCTTGTTTTGGGGACTTAATAGCACACCTCGCTGCATGTTGCATTTCATTACATACAATATTCCTTCAAAATCAGCACTACTCATTATGTTGAATCTGCCCATCAGCAGTTTAAATTACCAGAGAGGACTTCACACATGAATTATGACCTCCATAACAAGTCACTGTGGGATGCTATTCCAAACAATAAATATGAGCAAAGACGAAAATTTAAGCCAAATATTTAATTTGGCTGTTAATAAAAGTGTTTCATAAGGCTTAATTATGGTACCATTAAATAATAGAAAGCAAATGTTCTAGGACATATAGTCGAGGAGCCCCGAAGTCTCTGCTTGGTTTAATGAGGCATTATAGACATGTTCAAGAATGATTCAGAGGGGGTATCTGAGCTGTCATGTCTTCTCTGCCTGCCTGCAGAGAGAACAACCTGGGCAGCTTGGGGCTCATGCCCCAGGACATGCCATGCCACAGCCAGACCTGGACAGTGACAAGCTGGGGGTAACAGAGGGTAGGAGAGGTCATCAGCTGAGGCAGACTTTTCTGGATTTTGTCAGGGACATGAATCAGCAGTGGAAACTGGAATGGAAACCTCAAATGAATCAAGAGGACAAAACAAACCACTAGAAAACCAATCAAATCTGCAGGGCTGCATACACACCCCAGGGCTGCTCACCTACATCACTAGTTAGTCTTTCAGAGATGAACAAAATGAGAAACAAGAAATAAACAGCTACTTTGTATGAGCTGCTCCAGAGGACAATCAATACACAAGCAGTGACTCTCACAGAAGATCCCTATTTAAATGCAAACACAATACCAAAATGTAAGAAAGAACCCTTTCATTTAAAAGTTTGGTGCATACAAAACTTAGAGGAGGCCAATTTTCAAAAAGTACATACTAGTCCAGTTCTAAAGAAGGATATTGCTTAACTCCAAAGTATTTTTTCTCTTTTTTTTATTATAACTTAGTGTCTTCAACTGCAAAATAGGAAAAATGCATTTTCTTCACAAACATGAGTCTAAATTTTTAACTGAATCCTCAGTTTCAAGTATTCTGAAAGTTCTTCACAAAAGTAAAACACTCAAATTACTCTTTCTAGGTAAAAATACTATTCCTCAGAACTTAGCAATGAGAAGGTTTTCCAAGGAATGCTGTTTGCACTGATAAGTAATTCAAAAACATAGGTACATACTCTTCTGTCCAATTCTCTCTCACGTTTTCATCATGCCCAACCATAAATCACATCTTTACACAAAATCAAAGGAGCTGGTGAACTTCAAGATTTCTCAAGGACTTTTATACATTAAAAGAATGTCAACCTTCCAGGCAGGATATATCATTTCATGCCATAACTCACATTTGCTACTGCTTACATAAGAGATAAGCTCAACAGACTGAAAAGAACAAGGGACTGGAATTACACAGCTTGGGAGCTGGAAATGCATTCTCATTCCTAGGCCACAAGTTCAAGTGAGAGTTGACCAGTCCATTTCAGACCAGACACATCTGTGAAGCAAGCAGGAAGCCTAAGGACTCTGCAGACACAGAATAAAAGTTCTCCTAGGGCACCTTGGAGGTATACTTATAGGTAATGACAGAGGAGAGAGGCAAGGAAAATTCACAATGTTCCCAGCCTTCAAAGCAGCTATTCATCTGGAGAGGGTATTAGACCAAAAATAAAGAATTTAGTGTGCTAAGTCAAGCTAAGAGTCTTCACCAAGGCTTAGTATCAGCTACTACTTAGTATAAAAGAAAAGGGGGAATGTAGGAAACTGAAATACTTAAAAGACTGCATCATCCCTTTGCACAGGACTTTAACAGAAAGAATATGCTTAAAACAAAACATGCACTCATTTACCTTTGTCACATCTACTTGGTCAGACCAATCTATGTTAATGCTCTCCAGGCAGTTACTGCTGGCATATTGTTTCATTGTCCGGGAAACATTGTAATAACAGTAAAACATGACTGTTAAGGGCACAACAAAATTAACAGCAATTACACTCATTGTGTAGGAAATAAAGGACCTGATAAGACAGAAAAACAAAATAAAGTAACTTACAAATAGCCATCCAGGAAAAGTTACCAATGAATTTGGTATTTTGATTTGATTTTGACATTTTGTAACAAGCTCTAAATAAAAAGGAAAATATTCTTTAGCTATTTATAATTAGAAAGTACAAGTATTGAAGTTTTGAAGCATAACTCCTATGGGGTGTTTTGCTAGACTTGCACTATGTTATTTTTATTGTTTTTAATTTTTGCTAAAAATTTTACTTCATACTTCAGAGAGAAGTTATGCTCCTACAGCGATGAATTAAACAATTTTAGACTCCAGCGAGCCAGCAAAGTCAAAAGAAAGCGTGAGGGGGAATCTTACGCATCATTTTTCCTCCAATTTACTGTGCACGTTGCTCCAGTGGGATCGGGAGCGTAGCTGGCCCAGCCTGCAGTAGGCATGGAAGACCAGAAGACTGCATTTATCCAGGCAGCAAGGATGAGAGTGGCATAGCTACGGGTGGTCATTCTTCTTCCTGCAGCCAAGCACAGACACAATTCTCATCTGCTGCTTCTTCCCAGTGTCAAACTAGAGTGACAAGTGGCTTCCAGCAAGCACGTAAAGAGTTAATAAAGACCCTTTCCAGTCCCAAACACTGTAGAATACCTGTTTCATTCTGCTGCCTCACATCTCAGTCCTTGCAGCCTTTAAAGCCACTTGAACACCATCACCCATTCCAACTCAGCATACAGGCAATACCTGATCCCAACCCCATGCCAAAAGCTTATTATGCAACACTGCATTCAAGTACATCCTTGGAAGATTGCAGGGGAGGAATTAACTGTTACAACACAGCTGCAACAGAGGAGAGAAAAACACCCAGGGGATGTTAACAGAGGCACACACCTGCTTGACAGAGGTCAAAACCCGACACAGCCAGAGGCTTTTTGTGTGTTTCACTGTATGGGTGTGGCCCTCTGAAGACCGAATATGGCCATAAAACCACAATTTATAAACAGAGTAACAGCCTAATGATTAATTTTTTACTTTAATGAGCAGTATGCCAACTAGGTAACTTACTCAACCAGGTACTGTAGGTTCAAGTTCTGCCCAGCGCTGTAACTATGGAGTCATTCATGAGAAAACAATGCAATCAAATCAGAATTTTATTCCTCCCAAGAGTGACTGAGTTTTGACCCTAAGTCAGTACCTATATCAGGCCTGCAGATGGTCAGGTAACGATCAACCGCAACAACAGTCAGCAAACCAATACTCGCCATCCCAAAAAAGATATTTAAGGCAGCATAGATCTGAAATTAAAACAAACAAGCAAGAAAACAATTTCTGAGAAACCTTTCAAAGATGCAAGCATAAAGCTGTGTACTGAATCAACACAATTCAGCCAGAGTTCTCTTCCATAAGCAAGGTCTTAAAGGTCTTATTTCAATGCAGAAAATTTGAAATTTGAAGGTGGCTCATTAGAAAGTAAACATTTCAAAAGCATCTGCTTGTGTGCACATTAGAAATCCTAAAGTCTCAAAATCAAAGAAACACTGTCCTTCAATAATTAAATTTTGAGATTCAAAGTTTGGAGGGGTTTATTTCATGCTATCAATATATGTTAAGGAAACCTGAGGAGCATTTGGTCCATCAGAAAGAGTTACAGCTTTAGCAAACATGAGGTTCTGAATTATCACTCTTTCATCTGTTGTGATGATTTCACAGATGTGGCCCACTGATTTACTCCCTCAGGCTCCATTTTTAAGTGTGTCAGATCTTTTGCACAGAACAACACATGCTGCAACCCCAACATGCTCCAAATGCATCTGCCTGGTCATTCCATGGGAAGCCTGACCAGGAAGGATGACTGGGAGGGCTGTGTTACCACTGGCACTCCAGTAATACAGAGCTCTGAGCCAGAGCACATGCCACCAGCAGTTATAACAGATGGCATTCAGCCATCTCAGATCACAGGAATCATTTGGTTTAGGTTGACATGAGCTGTGCTTCAAGTGGTCTTAACTCTCAAATCAGTGAGATCTCTCATCAACCTGAACACACCACAAGACAATCCAGACCCAAAGATGTTAAAAGTGAGGCTTCCTGCCAAACAATGACTGAATTTTGACTGTGAAGGTAGTGTCTACTGAGGCAAGTGATGTCAGATTGTGATAAGCATCTGTTAGATAAATGTCCAAAATGTTTGCCTTATGACACATTTTCAGTATATGCCTTCATATTACTATTCATATTCACAGGCACTTAGAGCCCAACAATCTATCAATTATGTAAATTAAAATCACAATACACAGTAAGCAAAGGCCACCATCTCTCTGTTATGGAAGTATGTTTTTCAGTCAGTCTACTCTTAAAAATAGGCAGCTCTTAAAAGTAGGCTAAATCTTTAACGGAGACCAAAAACCTCAGAGGCCTTCACTTTGGATATCCTATTAGTCCCATCCAAAAAGGACATGAATTTGCCAAGCAGAACTCACCAAGATCTGTCAACCTCACCATCAAAACAGTAGCCACTATCAAAGTTTTTTAGCTCTCAGCAAAATCATCAAATGTACCTGTGCTACTACAACCATCTTCATTTCAGGAATTGATTTTGTAACCCTACTTAAAGCTATTTTAAAATGCCTAGTTGATAGATATAAGGTTACACTTAAATGTTTTCAGATTGTAAATATAAGCTTAAAGGGAAATTCACACAAAGTACCATCTCCAGAAATTGCTGACATCAGAGAACATCAGCTTCAGGTCCAGAGTCACATTCTGCATCTCCACCTTATCCCTTAAAAGAACACGAGGCAGAGCCATTACTTATTTCTCAGTTTGCTTTTAAGTGCTGAAACTTTCTCTCTAACTGAATTGCAATACCTGGCATCCAGTATATCCAAATTTCCAGCTTCCATGCAGGTCTGAGGCCGCAGACATGGGGTAACCAATGCCACTAACACCAATATCAGTAAAAGCCAAGTTGATAATAATTGCATTGGTTGCTGTCCGAAGCTCTTTGTATTTAACAAAGATGCCTAACACAACCATGTTACTGAGAATGCTTATCACTCCTGTAAAAACAGAAAAAGAAAAACTTTACAAAAGGTACACACCAGCCAGCAATACACATGCAGAAGAAAATGCAGCCTATTGTAATATGGAAGTCCCAAAAGCGATTTATTTTTAGTCAAGTACAAGTTTGCAAAGAGGATAGACACCTGAAAAAGAGAAAAAAGCTTTTCCAGTTAGGCAACCTTTACATGGATTCAGCCAACGAGACTTTTGATGCAATGACAAGCAGAGCAGAAATTCAAATGCATCTAGGATTACACTTCAAACACTCTGGCCACCAAGTACAGTGCTGACCTCCACGGTAAAGAAGAATCCAGGTTGGTGACTGGTAAAAAAGAAAAAGGATTATAAAAACAATTTATGCACCTGATCTAGAAGAAGGCCCCTGCCAACCCCTGAGATTCAGTAATTTTAAAATCAAATGAGGCAAAATCATAATTACCCCTTAGCTATCTCTCTTTTAACACCACCGAGGATGTCTGTTCTCAGGTGCAGGTCTCCTGTTGGCCCCACAGATGCCATCATCTATCATATTCATATACTCACACATTTCAGGAATGACACTGATCCTATGTGCTCCTAAAATTTAAATAAACAAGGAGCTGAGGATCTGATCTGAAATGAATACCACATAAAAAATCCACATGCAGTGCTAGTTCTGTCGGCTCTCCTGTTGACAGATAGCATGTCATCTCTTAGGAGAGAGGGAGCAAAGGAGAATCACAAGTTTAATAATGCAGGCTTCTTATGAGGCAAGTTTTAACAGATATTACAGCTACCGATAATGAAATCAGACATACAACAGGACTGTAAACTCGTATCCTCAGGGTGAAGAAAAGATCCTTCTAGACACACCTAAATTTAATAATTCAGAGTCCAGCCTTAAAAGTAAGGGGGGGAGAGGGGAGGCAGTGAAAAACAGGGAAGAAAAAAGTGGAACCTGTATTAATTAAAAATGTTATTATCACTAAAGTAAACTAATAATAGAGCAAAAAAAGAATTTTGTTTGGAAGAACAAAATATAAGACGAAAGACAGATTTCATCTTGAACAAAGTGAGAAAAAACATGTAGATACAAGAAATTATCTCTGTTTCTGAGGAACAGGTCAAGCAAATGAATGAAGTTTCTCCAGGTGGCAGTTAAGCAGTGCCCATTAAAAGAGCATTGAAGCTGGTCAAAGTGCTGGAGCACAAATCTTATGAGGAACAGCTGAGGGAGCTGGGGTTGTTCAGCCTGGAGAAAAGGAGGATCAAGGTGACCTTATTGTTCTCTACAACCACCTGAAAGGAAGTGAAGCCAGGTGGTGGTCAGTCTCTTCTCCCAGGACACAAGTGACAGGATGAGAAGAAATGGCCTCAAGTTGCACCAGGGAAGAGTACTTTTGGATACGAGGAAAAATTTCTTCACTGAAAGGATTATCAAGCACTGGAACAGGCTGCCCATGAAAGTGGTTGAGCTGCCATCCCTTGGAATGTGTAGGTATGGTGCTTAGAGACAGTTTAGGGTGGGACATGTCAATGTTGGGTAGTAGCATCAAAGTAAAAAAAAACCAGGTACATGTATAACATGGAATTTACCTTTCCAGCTAGCATTTTTAAATTATACCAGTGCATTCACCACTACAAGCAGAAAGACATCCATGAGGCAGCAGAGCTTGCTGTATCCCTGCTGTCATAACAAAATCGAATACACTGACCAGTGTAATGCTTAACAATTACTTCCTTCCCAGAAAACAAGAGAGAAACACTTAAATCTTTTAAAGAGCAGCATAATGATGAACACTGCACCCAGACTTCTTTTTAATTTTAACATTTCTGCTTATTAACAAGGCTTAAATCTTCCAGATGTGAAATTTGCAGCAGTAAGGCTGGTGCAAAGCAATCAATCATACTTTCAAATATTTTATGGACTTCATTGTCAAAAACATTTCTCATTAAGAAAGTAAAGATTTAATTTCTCATTAAGAAAGTAAAGATTTATTAGACTCCCCAACTATAATTAGAAATAAAAAATTGAAAAAAACCCTAAAACTGCAAAGTAATCCAACTTTTTTTTCCCCATGACATTTAATTTCCATGCAAGATTAAGAAAGAAGAGCTGGCTTGATTCTGCTAATTCCATTGATACCCTATGATCACCAATGATAGCTTTGATCCCGAACTGTTTGACCAGCTGGTCAAAACTATCTGAAAATATCACCTTGTTACATACTACATAATCAATTTTAATAAAAATATAAGACGTATATCTTCGCTTCCAATACTTGGCAATTATTTATCTCTACAGCTTCTTAAGAAGCCTACTGCTCTGTGTAGCTGTTCTATTAATTTCTCCAAAGACCTTAAATAAATTATTGCCTTTGCATCCAAAAATACCCACTTTTCCAGCACAGCAATTTGATACTCATCACTTCAGACATATATGCTAAATAAACTGCAACCATCAGCAATACTATTTCATATAAATGTAAAATACGTTAATATTTTAAAATATTTAAAAATCTAACTACAACTTGGAAAAATTTGTGGTACAGTCAATGAATAAAGAGTAAACTGATTTGATTTTCCATAATAAAGGTATAGAAGGCCTGTTTTTAAACACAGTAGGTTTCTGGTTTGGTTAGCTGGATATTTCATAATTATGGCACTTAATGCTTCAGAAAAGCACTACTGAAGAGGCTGTGGTTATATAATGAATAAGTTTTTAAGGGGAGAATAAGAATAGTTTTATAATCATTCAAGTTTAGCCAAAGACCACTGCAGTCACAGGGATAAAACACGATGTAAAGCTTCACAGCGTGCTTTTCTAACATGTGTCATTGGTGAAAAATACAGCTGCAACTGGAATCTGCTCTTCTCTGATTAATGACCAGCTCCCTCCCTCTAAGTCACATTCCAACCCTTCCCCTTACATCCCCCTAACAGACACCCGCTCACATGCTCAGACTACACATATATTGCTACAAACATGTGGCCCAGGAGAAACCTCAAGATAGCTTAGAGCACATCACAGAAAAATGCAAGATGTGACAGCTATGCCCTATTTTTATCTATTTTGCAAGCTGGCAGAAACTTATTCTCACTCTCTTCTATAATTACATATCAACAAAATGTATTTTTTGAGACACAACGCTGCCTTCAAATATAGAGCAGAAAACTTAGATTCTGCACACTTCAAATGTTTCTGCACATTTCAGTCAGGCAGCTGACTGCTAACTTGTCAGTAAACACGGAGAAAAGCCATCAGACAGCTGTCTAACACAAAAAGAAATACCATCCCTATTACTGTACAAAATGAGCATTCAGATCTACAAGTTCTATTTTAATAAGTTATGCAACAATTTGCCAATGCCCATACCTGCTGTTATTAAGTAAGCTGCAACTATGTTGTGCTCAGTCTGTGTGAAGGCTGAATGAGCTTCATTGTCACTTTCTGAGGAATTGGATGAGTCATTCCAATGCATTGTCGTCTATCCTCTGAAATAATTCATCAAGAAGACGAAACACTACAAAACTCTGTCAGGCAAATTCTTCCATTATTCAACAGACTCACTGAACAATTAAAAGAAGGGGGGTAGGGAGGAGTTCCCCCCACCACTGACAGCTTCCAAGTATGATTTAATTGGACTAAAGTGGAAAGAAGTTTACGCTCCCAATCTATGCAAGAGATTGTTAATTAAAACAAAGAGCAGCACAGAACTGAGTAAATTTTGAACAGTGTGCTTAAACTTCATTCTTACTGCTAATGAGATTAACTGTCACATGCCCCCAAACTTTTTCCCCTCAAACCTCTTTTGCAATGCTTTGGAAACCTCAACAAAAGTTGACTCAGTTCAATCAATCATCAGCCTGGCTTGGAACTAATTCCCATCCTCATGCAAAGCACATAAACCTGCAGTACAGCATGAAGAGACAAATGTCAGTTTCCTTAAAAACAGAATACATTTAGTCTAAAGCCCATCCCTTCAAATCTTTAAAGACTTACTTCTTCAAGGTTCTTTGTTTGATTTAAACTCTGACAAAGACACAAGAAAAATACATTCCAGTATTTTCCTAAGTGAAGCATGACTTCCAGAAAACTCAGCTGCTACATCTCTAAAATAGACTGGTCTATAGAAAACAGTTGTTGAATATGCCTCCCTCTCCTAAACACAATACATGTGAGCTTACTTTGGGCAAATTTTTCAAAGCATCTAACTCGACATTCTTCAAAGATCTGAGCAGCAAAAGCTCATGTTTTCTTCCCTCCAATAATGAGGTACCAGCACACCAAAGCAAAGACTCTTTTAAAAACCCTGCATAATTAATAGCTGTCATAAGTCCTTGCCCAAAGGACTTACACAGAGCATCAGAAAGCCACTGTTCCTCCTCAGTCTTACAGTTTTTGCCTTCAGTCAGTATTCATACTGGGTGTAAAAGTGACAAAGATGAGCACCAGTGGCTTTTCAGTTGTATGTGGTAGGTGAAGCAGGTCCCAGGCTAGGGCTGTGCCTTCTGAGCAGCAATAAGGGTGCAGTGACAAAGAATACAGTCATGGCATGGAAAGTATACCTGAAGAGCTCTCACTTCTCTAACCTGTGAAATACTCCGAGTGTTCCCTCCCACTCCTCACTTCTCCAAAACAAACATCCTGCATCTTTTTTTTAACATAAAGGTAAGAAAATTTTTACATAACCTTGTGCAGTCACAGCATTTAGTCACCATTACTACACATGATCTCGCATCACAATCCTGTGAGCAATCGTTCCCTTTAATGCCCCACATCTACACTCACAGCTCTCAGGGTGTTTGTCTTATTACAGTATTTTTCCTGTCAGAGGAGGATTAGGCAGGAACAGGGTGGAAGGGCTCTGAAAGGAAAGATGATCCATTTGGCAATGAAGCCTCTTTCATCATGCAACACTGTTGTGCCCTGAAAAATCTGGCAAGGCAATCATTTGATATCTTTGCTTTCCTCCTCTGACACTTTGGCAAGATTCTCAAAAGCACCTCAGATCTTGCAGCTTCCACAGAAGTCAGAGCTTGCAATGTTGAATGTCTCAAAAAAGCAAACCATTACTATTTTTACTCAGATAGGATTCCAGATGTACAGTAGCAATTAACAAAAGAAATTTTATACTTGTTGATTTAAATAGAGCTTTCTAATATATGCAGTCCCTCCTATCTTCCATTTGTTTCTGTCTCTTCTCAAATTGACTAATTTTACTGCAACTAGAATTGACAGAGAAAAGTCAAAACTAAAGGCAGACATCATCAAAAGTATTCTTCTTCTGCAACACCATAGTTCATAAAATAAAGTCAAAAAGATAAAACAGGAAATTAAATATTGAAGTAGAAAAATAATCCACAGCTTCTAAGCCAGATAAAATACGTCTTACCACATTGCTTATTATTTCTGGTATAAGAAGATAAAATCCAAAACCTCAGGCTGTTTTTATCCTTCAATAACATAGCCTTACAGGTGTCAGAGGGGCACCTTATAAAGTGATGCTTTTCCTTCCCACCTGTCCCAGATCAGTAGCAAAATGTAACTTCTATTAAAATCCATTCTTCAGTTTGCAGGTCTCTCTCTATATATGTGGGGCAACGCAATGAGAGGTTTAGCAAGCTGCTTTCAGTTATGTGTAAAATATATATCAATGCATGAACGATTGAGTAGAGAAACGTATCTTTTGCATTAAAAGTAAATAAATTGGAAACCAAAACCAACCCCAAACCTCTTCCTGTTTCCAGCAACCCTGCTATAAGTCCATCCCAAACCCAAACCCTCCCATGTTTACTATGCCCTCCACCACTGGAGGGCCCTCTAAGGCAAAACGTCCCTTTAACCTTTTCCAAAACTGATGCAAAACCCCAAGGAAAACAAATGAATACTTCTTTCTCCTCATTCTCAAAGACGTTTACTGGACTTAAACTGTTGGTTAGAAAAGTTTCACTCCATAGAGATTTTCAGCTGACAGCCCTGAAAGATGCATGACCCTGAAAGATGCATAAAGATTTTTACTTGCCATACATCACATAATAGCTATGCTTTTTTTTTTAAACAATGCTCTTCCTTGCCAAGACAATGCTTTACACAACTGCAAATTACTTTGCACCAGTCTATGTGCAACAGTCCACCATTTCTTCAGGCAAACATCCACATGTACAAGTCAGTGCCAGAGAAAATCCTTCCCATTCTACAACTCCCAGTGGTGCAGACTTACATTAAAATATCCCAATTATTTTCTGCACTTCATCAAATTTCTGTAAATAATATAGCAAATCTCTGAACTACATGGAGCCATCCTATCCCAGCATCTGCAACTCCACAAGGAATGCAAGGCCACTAAAGCCATTCTCATTAGGTAGCAATTTAAGCCTTATAATACACCACTATGTATTACCCTCTGTTTAAGGAGGATTTGGATCCCAAAAAGAAAAAAAAAAGACTCCAAAATTTTGCTGTGGCATGGACAAAAGGCTCTAGGTCTTCTAAATACTTATAGGCAATCTGATCCTGGTGATGCACCTGGCTCAGTTTCAAAATCAGCTCAAAGTCAGAGCCTACACCTGGGTCAAACACTGCCATGGGAGTGGAGGAGGACACAGGTGACATCACTACTGCTGTGCACTGAGCTGCTCTGAAGCCCACCTGAGCTTCAAAGGAATTTCCAGGACAGCAACCCATCTTGTGCTGCTGGAGCAGGTGGCAGATGAGAAGCTATTTACACGGTTCAGCTATGTGCTCCAAGGGCTGCCAGAAAGGGGAAAATAAATACAGGGAACACCAAACTGTCATCCAGAGCCTACAGTCACACCTTACCCCCACTCCCCTCACTTCAGATTGCACTCTGACTTTTCTTCCCCAGACACTGCAACTACTTGAAATTCACCATTTCTGCCAACACACCTATTTCTGTCACAGTACCTGTGAGCCCCTCTCCTATTCTCTGCAGCAGCAGCAGCAGCAGAGTATCTGTATTATGCAAATAAATAAATCCAGAACATTCCACTTACTAAGATCAGGAACACTGGGACAGACTCACAGATAGAATCTGAATTAGAAGTTCAAGACTGAGAGAAAGGTGTCATTAAATTAGAGAACTTCTTAGTTCATTACAGCGTTACACTGCAGACAAGACATCTTCATTTTTTTGAGACTGAATTTTAATCTGTTACTGTTAGCACCTTACTTGTATTAGGAGGGCAGGGTCACACCATGGCACAGAGAAGACAACACAGAACAAGGACTTAATGTGCCTTGCAAATCCCCCCTTCCCCAGAATGGAGAATGAAAAAAAGGCATCATCATATGGCAAACACATCCAGACAGATTCCTCGTATGTTCTTCCATCCTAAGAACATCCTACAACCTCCATGGAGATCTAAGATTTCTCTGGAGATTTGCATAAAATCCAAACAGCATTGTTTGTATGCATAGGCCATGCCATAATGCTCCCTTCCCTATATCCAAGAGGCCAATCTTTCCTCCAGAGCTGCAATGGATATTGCTGTTTAGCCCCTCTGCACAGAGGTCAGAGCCTTTGCTTCGCCCTTGCAGTGCCTGAGGCTGACTCACTGCTCCATCTGCTGAGAGACTCAGCACACTCGCCTGCTCCTGGGCTGCCAGGCCACACTGCTGCAGCCCAACACTGCCTGTCACATCCTGCACTCCACAGGCATGGCAGGAGCCTTCTGACATCCTGGATAAAAGCATGTCCCTAAAGAACAGCAAAGAGCAGCAGGGATTTGGGTGTAAGAGTGAGGACTGTGTTATGTTAGTCTTTCAAAGTCAGAACAGTAAGGAAAGAGTATCCGAGCCAGCTGCCACTACTGAAGCATCAGTGAGGAAACCCAGCACAGCAGAGGAACCAGCTGCAAACAGAAGTACTGACACTGCAGGTGCACTTGGTTTGCATCGTTCAGCTGCAATGTGGAATGCCCAAAATGCAATTACTTGCAAAGAATTTAGATAAAAGGCAATTTTACAAAGCCTCAAGTCAAAGCCCTGAGGCACTTAGGCCTAGCACTGCACAGCAACAGAAGCCTAATGATTCCCAGTTCTGGATTTAACTGACCTGGCTAAAGCTAGGCTTGTAGCAATACCAGGGAAAAAAAACCCATGGAATCCCTCATTTCCTGAATTTCCTGGGATTAAAATTAGAGCCAGGTTCTTCTCATAAAAGCAGACCTAGCAGAAATTCAATATTCTGTGTTTCATTATTTTAAGCTGAAAAACATTTTTATCTATTATCCTTTGCAGCATCTATTCACATTTAAATTAATTCTTTACTATTTGTTTTTCCACTCTTTCAAGTTTTGTTTGACATTTATTAGAACAAATGGTCACATTTGCTAAAACATGCAGTAACTGTCCAATCCTGGTACTGGAAAATTACCTGCTGCCTTTCTTAAGCAGGAAGCTAACATAATTAAACTGCCTGTTACTGCATTTATCAACTAAAAAGCATAAGAGTGCAATCAATTCTGAGAGGAACTTTTTTCACACTGAACAAGATGTTCAAAATACTTGCACATACATTATTTACAAACCTCTTTTGAAAACTGCTTGGTAGGAGAGTCTGTGAACAGACTCCTGGCTCCAGCTGAAAGAAATCCAGGAAGTTCTATTTTCACCTATTTTACTTCCAAAGTTGCAGAGCAGAGGCACCCTTGTCTCCTCCATCCTTAGGAAGACACAGTCCCTATCTTTCCAACAACCCTCATCATCCATCTATTTAAAGAGACCAGGCCCATGCAGACTTTGTCACGCCTTTCTAAGCAATACATAACTGAAAGCATTGTGTGCAGAGGAGCCCTATGATGAGCTATTTAACCTCAGCTCTACACAAACCCAGAGGTGCAGTACCAGGACATCAAAACCTCAATGGAAATAGGCTAATGGGGAGATGCAGGGCCAATAAAAAACCCTTAGCATTTTAATATCAGTGTAATTAGATACCATTAGATGACTGAAGTATAGTATTAATCTTGTCTTGTTCATTAGACAGCACCTTCTAAGAGGACCGCATCTTAATGCCTTTGGTTTTCATTAATATTTATACAGAAAAATTCACAAAATATACTCTGCTGTCTTCTCTCTTATACATTATGCATTTAAAAAACTATCAACACAAAAGTTTGAAATTTAATTTATAAAAAAAGGTTCACAAAGGTTGTTTAAATGGCATGTCCAGAAGATTCAATATAAAAGGAGGATGAGAACCAAGGATCAGTCATGCACAGGTTCACACTGAAGTATGTGCATGCAGTGAACCTGCAGGGTCTTCTGAAAACCCATTTCAACTGATTGTTTACTCCCAACTCCAACATGGAGTTAAGCACTGACTGCACTGCTTGTCAGAAACAAACAGTTTGAGAATAACATCAAATCGTGACTCAGTTACAAAAGTTTACACATATTCTGAGCACTCTTCATCTCTTCACCTGGGACTACACTCTCCTCATGCGTCCATCAACAGTCATGAAGTGTAAAAATAATTGTCATTTGTAGCTTCAAGTTCCTTATAAAAAGATTTTCAAGGTCCTTTACAAAAATTTTGCATGGTTCTTTGCTGCTGCAGATGACATGATAAGACAATGAGGAGATACTCCTGGCTCCATTTTTAATGTCCTCTTCCTATTTTAAGAGAAAAGAAAAATACATCAAACAATTCTTATCTCAGATGTGTTTCAAGCAAATTCATTCAATAACATTGAATGAATTGATAGAATAAAATGCAAAAAACTAACGTGGTTTTACACAGGCATCAACAAATGCAGAGTACTGTGCTTCAGTTTAAACTACCAGGATGCACAGAAATATCTCGCATAGAACCATAAACATCTATAAGACATTAAAAAAAATATAAGACTAAAAACTATAAGACATTAAAAATCACAACATTCTGTTAATATTTACAAGCTTTAAATTACTTTAATAGTTACAAGCTTTTTAATATTTACAAGCTTTTTTTTTAGGAGCTATTTTTATTATGGAAAGGTAAAAACCCCACACTCACCCCGAAAGCCTCCTCCACCACCTCTTCCTCCTCTGAATCCTCCTCCTCCTCCTCCACCTCTGCCTCCTCTGAATCCTCCTCCTCTTCCTCCACCTCTGCCTCCTCCAAATCCTCCTAAACAAAAGAAAAACATTACCCTTTGAGGAGCATGTAAATTCTTGGTTATGCACAACAATTTATTTCATAGACAGCTTATGAAATGTAACTAACAACAAAAAAAAACCAGAAAGTGTCAATTGCTGGACAGTTACTAGGTCAATTACTTGTAGCCTGCTTCTTCTTGGGAACATCTGGAGCGTTTTAGGTATTGCTAAATATCTGATATACCATGTCCAAAATACTAAAGAGACTGCAAAAAACTACATACACTAACCAGTAATTCATTACAACCATTAGTAATTATTATCTATTAATTGCAACTCAACATTAAACCAAACAAACGAAACCACTTCGAAACACTTGTGCCTTGCTGTAAAGGGGCAGGGTATGGAAAAGAGACAAGAAACTGTGATGTAAGAAAAAATAAACTTCAGCTTTGTTTGAAGAGTACATCACAGGTGATGTTCAAAAAGCTTTCTGTCTTTGTTATAAATCAGCATTTCCTCCTCCCTATGCTTTGGAGCTGTTATTTAGCCAGTCTCACCACCTGAAAGGTATCACTGCCTTTTCTATACAGTCAAGCAGAAACATTTTTATTTGCAATACAGCTGTTGATACTCAAGTACTCACCAGCAGCTTTACAAAACAAAACACAAATACTCCACAGAACAAATGACCAAAGCAACCTATGGCATCTCAAATAACTCCAACATCCTGCAGCTCTCATTCTTGTGATCTTACCTCTACCACCGCCTCTTCCTCCCCCACGTCCACCACCACGTCCTCCTCTACCACCTCCTCTGGGAGCACCTTTTTCTCCAGGGGGCCTTGGCAAAAACCTCTGAAGAGGCAGCAGCTTTGCTGGATCAATGTAAAACTGCAGGAAGAGAATTCCATTAGGCTTTCAAAGTACCAAGACTAAAAAGAACATTAATATCTCCCTTTACAAATATCCACAATTTGATCTTACCCCATTATGTCAAACTGTCCTCTGCAAAAAGCCAAGGAGAGAAAGCACAGATGAAGTAAATCCCAGAATTAAGAAGCTACTAAAATATTGGTGATATTTGTGTGATTTTGTTGCATCTTTTCTCATGGGGCAGGAAAAAGGAGTAATGTGGCAAACACAGAACTGGAAAGGATGAGGAATTTAATTCCCTTGTTTACACAGGACAATCTGCTTTTAAAGTTATTAAATCTTAATAAAGCTTTTACTATCTGCTGACAAATTAGACTTAGCTAACTGATGGCATTCAGTAAAATTCTCTTATTGAGATTGACTTACCTTTTGCATTTTTTTAAACGAAGAGGCTTTCATGTTCTCAGACAGTTTCACTGAAAAATACTGTTGGTTTCCTTAAGGAGCATTGCAGTAATAAAACGTGCAAAACTGTGATTTTGATCAGTCCACGGAAGGAACATTGAGACATTTTCTAAATTAGTATTTTATAAATTCAGATAAATTTCATCACAATTGCAATTAAAGGTGATTCAAACCTGCACATTTTACTTCACATTTAATGTGGGAGAGGAAAATTCACATAGCTAGTGACTGGTGCTCAACCAGCCAACACAGGCTGAGTCTTAACTGGGTTACTCCCTCAGCTATCCTGCTTTTGTCATGGATTCTGTCCATCTGGCAGTGACAACAAAATGTACCCAGTGTCTCTGTGTCAGGCTGGCTGTGCCACAGATGTCCTGGCACATCCCACTTTTATGGGCAGGAAAAGTAATAACTGTGACAATGAGCCACAGGACATCTCAGTATAAACTCACTTTATAATTAAATAATGTGCTGGAGCATGAGCAAGGTCCGCTAACACACCAAAAAACCTAAAAGTCCTTGATCCACCTATGTTACGGCTTAGTAACCTATAGCAGAAAATCTGGTCAATTAGCCAGAAAAAGCAACAAGCTGAACCACCATGGATCCAAAACATATCATCAGTACTGCTAAAGAGTGAAAATCTGATTGACTTCATGTACTCTGTCATATCAAAAAAGCTCTAAGACAGGTACTTAAATGAAGCACCTACAGTTGCAGCAAGACTCACATATAACTGGTAGCCAAACTCTGAACTATTTTAAAATCCTAGAGAAATCCCATTTCATACCAAATCAATTTTAAAAAAAAAACAAATATTGTAAGTCACACATTTTTTGGAAGGATACAAAGTCTCTCAGCTGTCCAAATATTTCATCCACTTTGCCAATCTGCTCCTTATTATCCAGGTACACTGGGGCATTGAAATAAGGCACCTTGTTTTCCTCTGTTTTACATTTACAAACTATGTCATCTTCACAGGGATGCATGAACTCTCCCAGCACTGAAATAAAGAACAAACAAGCTAAAGGGCTGGAGCAGACAATCTAAGCAAAATAATAAATGAAGCTTCTCCATGTAACTTACAAACTACCCTTTCTGGAGGGCCCTGGTCATATCCTCCTCTGTTGAAGCCTCCTCTTCCACCTCCCCGTCCAAAGCCACCTCCTCGCCCGCCGCGGTTGAAGCCTCCTCGGTCACCGCCACCTCCTCCTCGGTTGAAGCCACCTCCTCTTCCTCCTCCACCTCCTCTTCCACGAAAAGACATTCTCTACTGCTTCCTGCTTTGTGACCAAAAAAATCAGTTAAGATATAAAAGATATATATAGATATATAAATACATTTGCTTTGCTGTACAAATTGCAGTGTCCTGTCAGCCTGGTTTGTTAATTTAATGGTTCATCCTTTTCAATCCTCACTAAAAACATGTTGGCCTATGAAAAATCAAGTTTGCACCTAGGATGTCATCAACTGCAACATCCAACTGCAAAAAGTGACTAGCAGTGACCAGCTTGTCATCTTTCACTCATCTGTATAAAGATGCCACATCTGATGGCAGTCCCCAGCCCCACAAGTGGCACAAAGTGAGAATATCATAGAATGGTTTGGGTTGGAAGGGATCCTAAAGGTCAACTTCTGCCAACCCCTATGCTGTGTGCAGGGACACGTTCCACAGGCTGCTCGGGGCTCCATCCAGCCTGGCCTTGGGATGGGGCATCCACAGGTCCCTGGGCAGCCTGTTCCAGTGTCTCACCCCTCTCACAGTAAAGAACTTCTTCCTCATATCCTATCTCGACCCACCCTCTTTCAGTTTAAAACTGTCTTCTCTTATTCTACCACTATGTGCCCTTGTGAAAAGTCTCTCTCGAGCTCTGCTGTAGCCTCCTTCAGGCACTAAAATCTTCCCAGAGCCTTCTACTCTCCAGGCTGAACAATCCCCACTCTCAGCCTGACTGCAGAGGAGAGGTGCTCCAGCCCTGTGACCACTTTCATGGCCTCCTCTGGGTTTGCTCCAAAAACGCCACGTCCCTCCTGTGCTGGGCACCCCAGAGCTGATGCAGCCCTGCAGGTGGGGTCTCACCAGAGCAGAGCAGAGCAGAGGGGCAGAATCCCCTCCCTGCCCTGCTGCCCACGCTGCTCTGGATGCAGCCCAGGACAGGTTTGGCTCCCTGGGCTGTGAGTGCCCATGGCTGGGTCATGTCCATCCTGTCACCCACCAGCACCCCAAGCCCTTCTCAGCAGGGCTGCTCTGATCTGCTCCTCCCCCAGCCCGTGTTGGTATCAGGGGTTCTCCCGACCCTTCCTCTCGGCCCCGTTAAACCTCGGGAGGTTCCCTCGGGAGGCTCCCTCAGAAGGTTCCCTCGGGAGGCCGCACTGCTCGGGCTCGGCCGCACTGGGCGCGCACCCGCAGCGCCTCACAGGGCCCTGGGACACGGCCAGCAGCCAGTGCGGGGGGACCCCGGGGCCATTCCCTGAGGGATGAGGGACGGACAGACGGACACGGCAGCGCCAGACGTACCTGCACGTGCGCGCCGGGCCCGCCCGGAAACACCCGCGCTGCCGCAAACGGGGCTGCCTGCCGTAAGTGAAAGGGCGCCCGCCGGCCGACAGTGTCGCAAAGGGCTGTCCATTGCCGGCGATGGCGGCTCGCCGGGAGCGAGCGGGGATGGGCGGGACTGCCACGGGGGGCTCGGCGTGGATACACACCCCGGGTGTAACAGCGGCGATCCTAACAACGCTGTGACCCGGCACTCAGCAACGCCTACAGCCGGGGGAGCCGGGCAGGGATCGATCGGACTCCTCTGCGCTAAGTGCAATCCCAACAAGCGCTTCCTTTTAATCTTTTACTTCAAGGGCTTTGCTTTTGTTATCTCGCCATCCACTTCCGATAAAATCAGTTAAGGCAGGCTCTTTTGGAGAGATCAGATTTATCGGTTAATAGTTGAGGATCCTGTACTTTATTTCTAAATACACTTGAAAATATTTTTCTAATGGTTAAAAATTAAACCCAAATCTAACAGCTGACATTCAAAAGAATCCCAGCCAGAGGAATTTGTCTAGGAAGAGAAATAAAATTTCATCATGCGAATGCTCCCAATTTGCTTGGTTTTCTTGTGTCTCTTTTGTCTTTGTGGATCAGAGGTAAGATATGTTTTATTGTGCTAGCAGTAATTTTTTAAAACGTTTAAAACGTTTAATAAACAGTTTATTGTTATAAAAGCAAAGCCAATTGATTTTTTTTAAAGTTCCTTTCATAGTATTTGTGCTTCATATATTTGTTTTAGCCCAGCCTGAATGTTTGAAGCCAGTTATTTCTCTTTAATGCTTTGATTCTACCTGGGGCTTATGCAAACAGGTTTGTGGAAAAGATTTTAATCAGGATCCTATACTAAACCAAATTTGCAAGCATGGCTGGCCACAGAAAGGTGCTGCAATTCCCCACCTCCCGTTTTTGAGAAATGGGGTTGCAATCTTGTGATATGGCAGCAAATTCTGCAGATTTTCTCCAGGCAGAAGTGTCCAGGAGAGCCAATCTGGGCTGGGCATTCAGCACAATCCAAGCCTTTCAGAGAAGTTCTGAGATAAAAATCAGCACCTGCTGTTCCCCCGGAGGAGGAACACCTAGCACAACATGGGACTTGTGCCAAGGCGGATCTGGCTCACAGTTTGGATCCTACTGACCCAAGAACAGCAGGAAGAATTTAATAAGATTATACAGCCGTGAAAAGGAGAGGTATTGGATTGAATTCTGCCCCAGCTACATCCTCCCTGACTCTACTGTGGGCAGGATTTCTTCATGAGAACTTTAAACTTCAGCTCTATTGATCCAGTTGATACAGCCAAAGCTGATAAATCACATTTGAGGACTAATGTTTTTCTCCCATTTTTACACTGAGGCCATCCATATATATTTTCCATGTTCAAAGATTCATCCTACCCACAGATCTCAGTAAGCAAAAGCACTCAGCCAGCACTGAAGTCAGCAGAGCTGCACAAACCCAGGTGCCACTCACCCAGAGGCCATGGGAGGGAGGGTCACAGTCTGTACCTGCAGTGCAGTGATGGCCAGCAGCCACCCTGCAAACGCTCTGCTGTGGGAAAACGCTGATGGGGATGAGCACTTAATTTTCAAATTGCTTTTGGATACTTGTTAAGGTACTTGAGGTACTTGTTACTTGAGCAGTCATGTGGACTCTGCAAAAAAAATCATTAATTATAGATTCATTTGCTAGTAAGTAATTCATAAATATTTACACATGATATTGAAATCCAAAGTCAACCAGGCCAATAAAACAAATCTTAGGAGAAAAAAAAACAAGTTGCTATTTTTCTCTTTCTCTGGTGCTTAAATTCCTTTATGTTTTAATCTGCATACCATCCCATTGCTGGGATGTGTTATAAACCAGTGCCTTTAGAAATGTTTATAGTCTGCTGTGCACTTCACCTGATGTTTGAAAAGTAAAGGGTATAAAGTTTGTGGGAGATCAGTAAGACTGAAGATCACACCAGGTAAATAATCGAAAAAGAAAAAAGGAGTTCAGAAAAAGTGAGAGAGACGAGGTGGCCAAAGACAAGGGAATAAACTCTATAAATGGTATTTAGGAAGTTCTGATTAGATAGGAAAAGGCTTATAAATGGACACTTTGCTGAGGTCAGTGAAGGGATCTGCAAAACTCTTGGTACAGTCCCTAATCTTCCTTTCATTCAAAATATTTTTGTAGCAGCATTTATTATTTTTTCAGCACCCTCTAATGCTGAAGAAAACCATTTTCCACAGGTTAAACCTGCCCAGCCAGCTGAGCAAGACAACTACCTCATAGAAGAATGCTTGGAAAACAAATACACCCACAAGTCCTGTAAGAAAGTTTTTTGTCAGCCATGGGAACGATGTGTGGAGGGAAAGTGCCTGTGCAAGCTCCCGTACCAGTGCCCAAAGAACGGCTCTGCAGTTTGCTCTAGCCGTGGGAAGAACTTCCGTACCTACTGTCAGCTGAAGAGCTATGAGTGCCAGCAGCCCAAAGCAAAGTTTCTGCACAGGGGAACGTGCAAGCCTGAAGGTATTCACCCCTCCTTTTCCAAAATCTATCCATCAGGGGTGGCTGAGGAGATGCTTACACTATCTACAGAAAGTCTGTTCGTTTTCTTGCACTAGTGACAGCGTGAAACAGAAAATGAAAAGTCACTGAAAATGGGAGGTATCTGCTGATTTTTATAAAAAATAAAGTGATTGACAGGCCCAGGTCACCCTGCTGCTGGTTTTGCTACACAGACTGCTGCAGGCATTTTGCAACACAGGTAATAGAAGTAGGATGTGGCCCTCTCACTCCAAGTATTACTGGTTGGTTATCAAAAATCCCCTAAAGAAGGTCATTCTTAAAATGCAGCCTGTTCTTGGTAGATCTTCAAGTACTCTTATGGACCCATTACCCTCGTTTGTCCTTAAACTGTCATAGTCTGAGAAATTAGCAGGCTCAAAGACACAAAGTCAACCCTCAGAACTAATTCAGGAATACCTGAAACCTCTGATTCCCAATCTTCTGTTCTTTCCATATAACTTTGGCTATAAATACAAAATTAGTCCTGATTTGTTTTTGTGCTGTCTTTCCACTAGATACATCTATATAATATGATTTTGTTTGGAGATTTTTTTCATTTCTCTCTTTTTTATTTTTTAAGAAACATTTTCAGTCTCTCTGAGTCATGGAGATTCAAGTTTGCTTCGAGTAAAACCCGTGAATCACAAGGAGGACAGTTTTGTGTGTGCTAGTGAATGGACTATGAATGAAGCAAACGTGGCTTGCAGGCACCTTGGCTTTGAATTGTAAGTTTGGGCAATTTATCTCTGGATAACTGCAGGGGATATGAAAAAGTAGTGATGTTTACAGAAGTGTCAGTCACAGCCAACAGTTAAGACAGAAAACTCATGAACTCATGGCTACAATATTCTGATAAAACTTCCTAAACTGACACCTGAGAGTGAAAGCCAAAACACAGATTTCTGTGTTCTGTTACAGGCTACAGCTATACAAGCCATAACTGCTTTGCTTTAAAATAAAGATAAAGACCAATGTGGAGGGGTTCTCTCAGGCCTGTGTTAGGGAAAATATATGGATGGACCACTCCCAAGTAGCTGTGAGCAATGATCAGAGAAAGGTTTCTCAGGACAGATGACAAGAGGGTACAGCTCTGTTTTGCCACTCGAATTAGCCAGACTAACAAGGAGCAGAACATGGGGTTTTTCCTTCACCCCTGCTGCCACTGCTTGCTCTGGCTCCAGGGATGGCTGAAGTCACACACAGTTTGTTCTTTTTCCTATGACCACAATGATAACCCAAGTTGTGTATTCAGCTCCTTATAGAGTTACCTCTGTATCCTGTACATAATCATTTACACCTGTAATGTAACATAACTTAGGTAGCGTTGCCTTCCTAACCTTACCAGAAAAAAAAAACCATAAAAAAAGTCCCCAGAAAACTAAAGCTGCTATTGCAGTGCCTCTCTAGGTGAGAAGCAAGTGTTTCCTAGTCCTGATCAGTGTATGTTCAGATAGCAGAGAGGGGTTTGCCCTGGACAGAGCATTCAGCTACAGAGTCTCATTGAAAGCCTGCCTAGTTACTTATTTATTTGAGCCATATTTCTTTAAGGTAGGGGATCGTACACTGTTAGGAGAATACTGCTCAGGTAAAACCAAGAAAGATAAAATTTATCAATCCCAGCCTTGCAGTGGCCTGAGCTTGCTCAACATTCAGTGGTTTGGATGGGACTAAGGATAGCTGACCCCATGCAGGATGGTTCCCAAGTTATGGCTCACCCATGTCCACACAGAGACAGAGGTCTGAGCTTACAGGTTCTGCTACACAAGGAGACTTTTCTATCCATCTTGATACACAGTGACTTTCATAGACCTACATGTGCATTTGGGGACAGCAGCCTGCAAAAATTAGCACTTCTTCCAAAGTAAACATCTCCTGTTTACCCCTAGACAACTCCAGTTGCTAGTCTGCTCTTTTTCTTAGCCATGACCAAAATTCTTTGACACTGAGGAAAATCGTGTAACTTCTAAATAATAAAAGCAGTGGACAATCCATTGTGAAATTATATAATTTGTTGTTGTTATTATTATTATCTTCACAGAGGTGCTGAATATTACCAAGTCACTTCCAGCATCACAGAATCTGCCTTAAATTCATTAAACTGTCTGCAGATAAATTGCAGGGGCCTAGAGACAAGTCTTGCTGAATGTCACATAGAGATGAAATCAAGAGATAGTAATGAGGGACTGGTTAGCCTGCAGTGCCATGAAAATCTCAGAGGTTAGTAGATCTTTTCAGTTTAATATCTATTTGGTGTTTTTACATTTTAAGTATATTTTAAACAATGAGGACCCAGTTTGCTGAACTCTCAGCCACAGAAAACCCACACTGAAACCTTTTGATCACTTTAAATCATCATTTTGTAGACTTTATGACAATTGAGGCAATCTGGAGTCAAGACAGTCTTGAATTTTCAAGTTTGAAAAATCACTGCTGTCCCCAAAGTATTTTTACAGATATAAAGGAAATTTATTTCATCCATTGTTCTGTTTGTTCCACCATCCCTTCCAAGGGTATCAAGGTATATTGTATCCCATGAATCTTACCTCTCCTGGCTTAACTGGTGAGGAGACAGGTGACAATGTGGTGCTCACTGTTTGAGGGACATCAATTAGCACACCACTAGCACTGCAGCCAGACAAACATGACTACAGTGGGAAACTGCTGGTGTCTCCTGGGTTTCAGGACTCCTCAGTTTCTCACTGTAAAGGGGGAATCAAAGCCTTGTTTAGAATTCTAACAGCTTTTCATTCCCTGTAGGGACCTTTCTTTGGCACTGGTGAGCATAGCCTGATATGCTGCTGACTGGAGGAAGTGCTATGAATCATCTCATTTTTTTCTTAAAAAAGCAGTTATTCACAGACTCTTGATGAGTTCTTTCTAGAGGAGGAACCTCCATCATCCTATTCCCTTGAATCATTTATAGTGGCTTTGAATTGATCATTTCTGGTTTAGTCCTCACCAGTCCTTTCATTAGAAGAAATTAAATTCCCTTTTGCCAGACTACTGGCAAATTTGGAGGAAGAAAATGAGGGGTCACACTGAAACCCTGGTGAAAAGCAACCAAAGCAATAAAACATTCTTCCTATTTACCTGGGCCCAGCATACCTACTGCTGATGGGCCAAACTGCTGACAGAACAGAATCCAACATGCAGGCAGAGCATTTCCCTGGGCAGTTATGAACCTACAGTCAATTCCACACTAACTTCATTTTCATCTTGCTGCACAGTTTGTTCAGATGGGGAGTTTCACTGTGTCAACGAGAAGTGCATTTCTCTGAATAAAACATGTGATGGGATCAATGACTGTGGAGACCTGAGTGATGAACTGTGCTGTAGAGGTAACAATTTCCTGTCAGGTGTTTCAAAATAATTTCAGCAGAAATCCACCCACAAAGAATTTTTACAGTGATGTAACAGCTAAATTCTCTTTTCCATTAAGTCACTACATTAAACAAATCTGACCATAATTTACACATAGGCAAGTGCAAAAAAGCAGGCATGAAATACCATTTTGAAGCAGACAAGTGATCTCTTGAGAATCTGAATTTCTTCAGAGAATGAGAAAATACAATGAGATCATTTAGGAGGCTGTTAAACATTGATAAAAAAATTAGTCCTCATAGCATGAAAATGTACTTTTACTTGGAAAAAAACAATAGTAATTAAACAAAGACACTGGTTTTCCAATGAACTATCTTTAAACCAAAGTAAGATCTCCCTTAAGTGTATTACTAATGCAAGATCATCCGTGGAATATCTGTGATGATTTCCTGGCACACTGCTTGTTCATGAGCAGTCACTCCTTTAGCATCTGCAATTCCAGCTGTAAAAATTCTTATTAGAAACGAGGAATGGATCTAGCATGACTTGAATGCAGGAGAATACTTTCAAAATTTGTGTTTCAGGTGCCAAATGCTAATGTGGGTTACAAATCCCATCATTATCCCTCCATAACCTTGATTTTGTAGTGCTGCAATCGTAAGTAATTTTAATGAGATAATTGTGGAAACACAGTCACAGTAATTTTAGAACAAAAATAATAAATAGCTGTGATTTCATACATTTAGTGGACATGTATTTGGACTCCACATGACAAAAATAGTGCTGTTTCAGCTGAATGGGCTGAAAACAATGCTTCCTGAAATCAACATAAGTATTTCAACTGAGTCCAGTGGTCTTTGGATCATCTTGGGATATCTGGATACTTTTAGAGAACTACCTTATTTTCAGTTAAATACAAATATCTTCAATAGAAGATTGACATAAGATTTTAAATTAGCTCAAAAGGCCTTGCCATGAATTCATGCACTGCTTTGCTTCTGATAACATTCAAAGGGATCACAAAATTTAAAAGGAAGGGAGTTCTCAAGTTCATAATACTTTTTCATATAAACAAGAATTTTAGAAGAGGTAAGTTATTTCATCCAGTGTTTTCCTGTCAGGACTCTTGATTCCTAACCCTGAATTTAGGCATTTAGCTCATTCAACCAAAAATCAGCTTGATCTCTGATTTGGGGGGTGGGATTTGGCACAAGCATCATCAGTTCCTCATTTGAGGTGATCAGTGATGCTGGCAAAATTGGAGATCTTTTGGCTGAGGCTGAGTGTGGACGTGTTATGGATGAAACTGGTATGGTGTGACACCAAGTCTAGCAGTGCTGCAGTGGTAACAGAGATCCACATTTGTCAAATCTTACAGTTTCAAGATTTTAAAGTGAGGAAAGCCAAGTATTCATTTTGTTTAGATGCATAGAGCCTGCTTTTGTAATCTCTTTATGAACAGGCAGGTCCCCTTTTTACAATCTAAACATTTGGTTTAGATTGTAAAAAGCTCTCTGACAGTGTGAGGTTGCTGAACCAAATCATGCTGTGATTTGTATTTGTAATTCCCCTGTGTTACAGAGTGCAGAGAAAACAGTTTCCACTGCCGGTCAAACATCTGTATTCCAAATAAGAGTGTCTGCAACAAAGAAATTGACTGCCTCACAGGAGAGGATGAAGCTGGAGCCATCTGTGCAGGTCTTCTGAAAGATGTTTTTGTTTCTTTTATTCAGCTCAATTTTAACTAGAGGCTACACAATGAATATATACTATTTTATTTATTATGCAAGAACCAGTCTTCCCAATATTATGTTTCACATAGTAGGAAGAAAAGGTTATAGAATTTTCTTTCTTTCTTTCTTGAAAGGCCTGACAAGAAAACTAAAGGAAGGAAGAAACAGATGATGTTTTGGGAAGCTTAAGGCAGATTATGTCTTTTCTTTATGTGGCCAGCTATCAAACTGGTATCCCCTAAGAAAGTGTAAGAAACAGGAATACTTTCCTCACAAATGAGGAATTCAACAAGTTTGTTAATATAATAATTCTTCTGTGCTTTTCCCCTCTCTGTTGAAAATATTATGTTTTGTTTGAAAATTAGAATTTTTTTCTTGCTCTTAAGAGAGACAAAGTCTAAGGCCAAAAAAGTAAAAACTACTGGTAAATGGTAATTAGTACAGGTAAACTGAACTCTAAATATAAACATTACTGTCAGTGACATGAGAACAGACACAATGCTCAGCCCCCATAAAGAGACTGAATTCAATGGGCACTTTGTTTGAATAAAAGCTGACAAACCAGATTCAGCAAGCATTTAATTTACCTCTCAGGTTGAATATCCTCCCTTACCCTATTAAAGGACGCACAGAGTACCCATCAGCATCATCTAAATTCGGGGGAAAGGACCAAATAAAAACCTGTTACTTAATGCTCCTTTGAGTTTTAGAAAGTTTCAAAAGGTCAGAGGGCCAGGAGAAGAAATTTTGGTTGTTTCTGGTGGAGGAGAATGGGACATCTCCCCAGAGACCACAAACAAAAAAAGGGCAGTTTCTCAGGGTTTCCTGGCAGAAGGGGTCCCTAGGCTTGGAGAGTGAGTAGATGTTGTGTAGTTATGAACGAGTATCTGCTGGCTGCTGGCCATTTGTAGGCTGAGGCAGCCAAACAGTGCCTGGCAGGAAAAGGAAAAGGAAAAGGAAAAGGAAAAGGAAAAGGAAAAGGAAAAGGAAAAGGAAAAGGAAAAGGAAAAGGAAAGAGCAGGCACCAGGCTGGAGAGTATTGCTCTCCATGAGAACAGCATGCCCTTATGCATTTAAAATGTATTCCATCATCATGGCACAACACATATATTCAAGTAAATGTTTGCCGATAACTTAAATATTTTGTTAATACTACAGGCAAAGAAGAAGGTGCTGAAAATAACAGTATGGATAAAGGTAAGTGTAATTAGCCCTCCAAAATCACCAGCAGATTCTCTTATTAGTGACTTTCTAGGTACCAGCCAGCTGCTCAGATCTAGAACACTCAGATATTCTGACTTTGTAATTTACTAATATACACTCTGGGACTTACTGTTTGTCTCACTTTTCACTGGCTTCAGGAATGCCATAATAATTCATCCTAGCTGAGGACCTACATCTGCATGTTTTGGCAACTGGTAAACTCTCAGCTGAGGTAAACTCTCTGCAAACCTAGGGGAACATCCTTAAAATTATTTGCCTGAATGCAAGCAGCATTGAAAAATGGAGAGAAATGATGTGATGCTCAGATGCAAGCAATTTTGAAAGCAAAAAGAAATGCCAATATTTTCAGTCTTTGTTTTCCTGCTATTTCAGTTACTAGCATATTCACAGTACTCAAATTTTTAGCAAGAATGTATACCTGAATTCTGAAATATGTTTTTCCTTTTTGTTAAAGAAAGAAAAATGATAAAGACACTTCTTCCCCAAGTGCACTGTGGTGTTAGGAATCACACACTAACTCGACGGAAAAGAATTGTAGGTGGAGAGATTGCTGGAAAGGTAAAAAAACAACTTTACCAGATATAAGTTCATTCAGCATTGATTTAAATGGGCATTATTTTCCTTCTGTTAGAGTTATGGAAATAACAAAATCAGCTACAATGCTTATGTCATGTTTTGCAGCAGTAGTGGCATTGCACTGAATGTAAGTAAAGAGAAGCACAGTTTATAAAGTAAAATATGGACTTACAAAATTAAGCATTGAAGTACAAATAGACACTGACAATTACTCAGGGAAATGATTAATACTACAGCCAAAAATAACAATTCTGACGTAATGGAGTTAAATTTTGTGGCTTTGAAACAGAATATAACAAAAATGCATTCAAACCACGTGAGGTCCTCCATCTGTTTTTCTGACTACAAGGGGTTTCATTACTAAAAGCTGGAGGTAAAGATATATTGCACAAAGTCAGAATATTGAATAAAGTTACTGAATTTTTGTATATATATCCTTTGTATCTGATGGAGCCCAATTTACAACTTCTGGAGAGCATATCTTTTATTAAAATCAGATGTTTTTCCCTTTATGCCCTAATCATTACAATTTACAATTGTAATGATTTCTCATTATTTGTGTTTGTGGATTGAATAGGGTGAATTTCCTTGGCAAGTGGCAATTAAAGACACCAGCAATGAAGGTTCCACAGTGTACTGTGGAGGGGTTTATATTGGTGGCTGTTGGGTTCTGACTGCTGCTCACTGTGTCAGGTAAAAACAATTCATTCTGAAATTCTTTCTGCAAGGCAGAAAAATTGATTTGGATACTACTGCCCTTCTCAGCTATGTGTTTGTTAATTTCTGTTTGTCTGTTGAATAGATCAGTTTAAAACACTGACTCACCCACATTAAGCATGAGGAAGATTCAGAGAAAACAGAGGGTTTTGGCAGTGAGTAGAAAGATAAAAAGTTAACTATGAGTTTGAAGAGACATGGCATACTTCAGTCAGATAGCAGCAGGCAGGAAAGGTTCATTGTAACCACTGTGCTTGAAGTTAAATACAACAGATCTCTTCTCCATGTCTACCTTGTGGAAGCCCAGGATCTGTTCCCAGAGAATGTCCCTGAGGTTATATATTCCCCAGAACAAGCCAAGAGCAGATGTGTAAGATTTGCCAGTCCCATCCACATCTGCTCACCTTTATCAGCAAAAGTACCTGTTTTCCATTTGTCACAACACTAAAGAGAGCCTGGCTTTAACATCATTTTCTGTATTAGTTGCAGTACTCACCATGTGTCATCTGTCTTGAATTTGCTACACTTCAGAAAAGCCTGGGCATTAAGTCCAGAAAGAAAATATATGTATCTAATATGGATTTTTATTCTATATAAACTTCGATAAAATGCAACACTTTACATCTTTAAACCAGTTGAAATGTAAGGCTTGTGTTTATTTCACTGTTTTTTTCCAGGGCAAATCGGGTCCACCTCTACCTTGTCTGGGTTGGAATGTTGAACACAATAGCGTATGACAAAGAGACAAATACTTACAAACTAAACCAAGTGATAATTCATGAAAACTACAATGCATCAACGTATGAAAATGACATTGCTCTGCTGGAGCTGAAAGGTTCTGGGCTCGGAGAATGCTCCCTGGAAGAGACCAGCATACCTGCCTGTGTCCCCTGGTCAGAGTATATGTTTAAGACTGGTGACAGCTGCAAGATTTCTGGATGGGGACTAGAGAAAGGTATTTGCTTTAATGCTCACTTCAGGAATGTATTGTTTGTATAACTCATTTCCTAATTGGGGTGAGCTTTCATTTTGAAAAGGCTGAAGAACAGTTATGTGCAAAGCACTCAGAAGAGGCTGAGTACAGAAAATGTAGGCTGTGGTTTGGCATGCAGGTATCACTGTTGGGTTCTTTTTTCTGTACTGCTTCCTCTGCTGTTTCAGCTACTTTGTGTATTGATATAGAGGACACACCTGGATGAAAACTACCTTGAAAGTAAGAAATTTTCCAATAGTTCTGTCAGCTGTGAAGACATGCAACAGATGTTGTTTGGTAGCTCACAGGGGCCCATAGTCATGGCTTGTCCTCTGTCCCCTTCCCAACAGGATCTGAGCTGCAGCCAGCAGTCATGAAACTCAGCACATCCTGTCTCTGCCTTGCTTGGGTTCAGCCCAGAGAAGCTTGCACAGAGACAAATATAATCTTACATATAATACTTTCAAAGATTTGGGAAGCATTTCTTTTGTATAACAGTGTTACAGCATGGTGTTGGAGCTACCACATACTGGTTGGGAGGTTTCTCCTCTCCATACTCAGTAGCATCCACCCAGCAAATGCAAAGTTGGGAATTGCTAGCAAACAGACAGGGAACAAAACAGAGCATCTCTTTAGACTTGTGAATCCATACCTTGCTCATATCTTCAGTAACTGCTCCATAAAGATAGAGCAGAGTTGGAAATAAGAATGAATCACAGCCACATCTCCAGTTCACAAAGAACAATGTACCCATTTCCAAGGTCCTGGAAACCTTCATATGGAAAACACAGGAAAAAAAGCCCTGAGGAACACAAGGAAATTGAAAGGGTGAAAAATGGCACAAAATGAAAGCACTGTAGTTTACACTGCAATTAAACCACTCTGCTTTCATTTTGAAATATATGGCCAATGCACTGTAAGTCATATGGGATAAATATCAGTGGCAGTTTAAGGTTTCTGGTTTATAATACTGAAGATAATATTTTGTAAATAAGTAAACAACTGACTTTCAAATTATTATATTAAATGTGTCTGATGTGTACTTGTAACTTTAAATTTTGATTTTTTTTTCTAGGTTACACAAAACAATTTATCCTCAAGTGGGGAAATGTTAATTTATTTCACAATTGTTCTGAATTGTATCCAGGACGATTTTTTAAAAAAATGGCATGTGCAGGTAAGCATCCATTTTCTTACTATAATTTCTCTACCATCAAGCTCTCAGTTTAGGCCAGACCTACTGGCTGGGAATCTTCTAGACTTAAGAAGGGCAATAAATGAACCACCACAATATCACTGTTGGCTACATGCCAGCCACTGAGTCTGTGGCATCCACCATTATCCACTTATTTGTAAGCAGAGTTCAGATGACAGCATGATGAGTTTCTGTGATTATTTGGGCAAATTTCTGCATGTAATTTGAGTTATATTTTCTAAATACAAAAGCACTTTACAGCCTACTGAACCACCTGCCTTTACTGTATTTGATTCTGATTCAGCAACATATTTAAGCAAATGCCTGTCCTAGAACTCACACCCCTGTTGAGTAGAATTCATCTGCTTGGACATTTGCCTCTACCACAGTGCATGCCAGGAAAATACAAATAATTTTCAAACTTAGATCAGTCTGTCCAGGAAACTGGTTGCCACTCCTAGTATTAAAATGAGGATTTTTGAATACACATTTATTGTTTCTCAAGTGACAAAACGTGTTGCCAAATACATGATTAAAAGAGCAGTGAGTATCACAGGGCAGATGGTTTCAAGTGTTTATTAAATCAAAAAGTGAAGGCAATCTTTAAACAAACTACTCAACAAGAAAATTAAAATCAGATATAAAAGCAAAATAATTTTTGATAAATTCAGGATGTTATCTGTAAGATATTGTGTTTATTTAGTGCAACTTTAGTTTATAAGTGTAACTAATCTCCCTTTTCTTCAACATATTTCAAGTCATCATACTTTACCATGAGGGGAAATGACAGTACCACGAGACACATTCTGAAAGGGGATATCTGGGGATAACATCCCCTCCCTGATGCAAATAAAAACTTTAAAATAAAGGGCTGGTACTCACAGGAGTTAGTAATACAAGCAAATATTAATTAAACTGATTAAAGGCAATAAATTCTTGTTTCATAGGATTTATAATCCTAACTCTGAACAGTTTACATAACTCTTTCTCAGTAAGGTACAGATTCAAGAAGGAGCTTTTCAAAAGCTTGGGGACTTGTGCTTTGTCTTTGTGCTTCCTTCATACTAGGACAGTCAGCCAAGCAGGAAAGTGTAGTAAGGGTGTTAGAAATTAATTAACTTTTACTAAGTATATAGGAAAAACCATAAATCATATTCTAGCTCTGTAGCAACATTTCTGCTTATATCACATCCATCTTGATTTTTTTTTTCATGAACATTGGGTTTGCTGACCTGAAAATGAGTGGGTTTGTGAACACTGGAGCACAAAGGGCACTGGATCCTGCACACCTGTACTTCAGGGCTGCTACCTGGTGTTGTTAAAGGTCCTCACTGAGACCAACCATGCAGTGGGGGCACTTAGAGACAGCTGCTCTCCCTCCCGTCCCAGGATTCATCTGCCCACCTGTTTTCATAAAGCTGGTAAAGAGAACAATTGAAGAGATGACGCTGGACAATGGATTACTGGGTAGAGAGGACACCAAAGGCAGACACACAGGCATACACACATTATGGTATCTTCACTTCCAAAGGAATCAGTGCACAAATCTTTATACCTCGTTCCATTTTTATGGGCTACTTTTTACAGTAGTCAATGTGGCTGAATTCCTCTCTATTGCACTGCATAAAACAAGACTGATGAAAAAGCAAACGGGAATTTGGGCCAGCCACAAGTATACAGAGAAGCCCTGCACTTGAAATGAGAAGTAACAGACCTGAAAAATCTCCTAAGCACTGCCTTGAGTGCCAGCTTGTACCTTCACTTACTTTTGCTTTTTATTTCCTCCCCAGGTACTTATGATGGCTCCACAGACAGCTGCAAAGGTGATTCAGGAGGGCCCCTGGTGTGCTTTGATGCAGAAGACGTGGCCTACGTGTGGGGCATTGTGAGCTGGGGTGAGAACTGTGGCGAGGCTGGTCACCCTGGCGTGTACACACAGGTTGCCAGCTATTATGACTGGATTAGCCACCATGTATCAAGGGGGCTCATTTCACGGTACAATATCTGAAGCTCCGAAAATTCAATGCTTCCTTCTTATCACCTATGCAAAAATAGTCCTTTTCCACAACCAGCTGTCACATAACTTAGCAACAATCAGTACAAATCTTCAAGGAATGTATTTTGAAAATTCTTAACACTCTCTGAATATCGCATTTTTGCAGAGCCTGTGGGAAGAGAATTTTACAGGCACAAGTCCACTGCAAAGGTCTCTAATAAAAGCAGATATTAAAATATTTTTTCTTGTAATATTATTTTTTTTTCTACTTTTCCCATTGCGTTTCAGCTGTTGTTGTTTATTTAGCTAAAACAGATAATGATAGTGGAAGCAGGGGTTGGAAAATGCACTGCAAGTGACCTTCACAGAAATATGAGAACTTCACAGAAAGGACAGCAGCCAGCCTGCTTTAAAGAACTTACATCATCTCGAGGTCTAAGTCACCAGAAACCCTCAGCAGGCTGCCTGGCTTGGCACTTGATTCCTTAGGCTTATTGCAGAAGAAGACTTCAGCCCACCTATTAATCAACAGATTGCCTGTGACCATGAGATTTGTTGCAATGCAACAATTACTCAAATAATAAATCTTCTTGGTAGTTTTTGCAGCTACAAACTCAGACAATTACTATCTAGTCAATATACATCATCTGATCATCTAGCCTGGGGTAATTTTTGTAGCTCTTAAGTTTTATTAATTTAACAACAGCTGGTCACAAACAACAAAGGAATTTTGAAACTTAAACCTTCAACTTAAATCAAAAGCATCTTTACATCTTAACATCTCTGTGTATGTATTTATATTTCAGGTATCCAACAAACTCTCAACACCAAGCAGAGTTTTACTCTACACACTATCACACACTCCATGTGCATCTGGATTCTTATACACATACATTTTTATATAGCAATATAAATATGTAAAAAGACAATAGACAATACCTTATACACATAGATTAAATTCTACAAAACCATGTAGCAGATACAAAGTTAGACTTCTTGCTATCATAAAGAAAACATCAGGCTATACACAATACCTTCTCATTCAGCAAGAGCTGCTCACAAAAAGTATGCACAAATCCTTTTTGAAGCAGTAGAATTTGATTTGTGGATTGGTACCCTCAACACAAAGGTCACATAGCTCCAGCCAGTTGTATGAAAATGATCAATAGCTTTAGAACATTTTTCACTGTATTCTAATGACAAATACTTTCAATATCTATTTCACTTTATTTCTCTAAATTATCCTGCTGAATAAATTTCATATGTTCACACAACACAGTTGTTGTCGTGCTATTTCTTCTATAATTTGGCACAGTCTGACAACAACAATTTTTACATTTTCATTGACTTTTCTTCATCTTCCAGACTTGTAAAAACCCCACATCAGCATAATTGTTACGTAAAGACACCATCAGTCACCAAAATAACTAAAGTAAGGGCATGAATTCCTTCTCTTAACAAACACACACACCCTCAACAAAGTTTGCTATTTAGGAAAGCCTTTAAGTACATTCCTACACAGAAATTATTTTGTTGAATCAGGGTCTTGGTAAAGAAATCCTAAAAAGGGAAACACTGGAGAGATGTACAAAGAGCTCCCTCTTTTGTTTGACTTAATTTTTGTGTGAAGAACTTTTGTCATCAATTTCTTTAGGTAAGTACACATTATATTAAATGCTGAGGTTGCCAATTAAAAAAAAAATAAATAAAATAGTAGAATATGCGTCTTTATGCCCTGTCTGTTCTGAAAGTCTCTCGGTTCTCTTTCCATTTATGGTTCTTCTTTACATTTAAATTTAGCCCTGAAGCCAAATATTACTGTTTTCTGAGAGATTCCACACAACATCACACAGAGCTTTCATTACAAAAATTAAAACAATTTTCACGTTGTTCCAATACAGTTCATATGTGAAGCATCTAGCATTTAGATATATATATATATTTTTTTTTTTTTAATTCTGAAAACGAAACACGGTGCTTAGTAAGAAAGTTCATTCTGGTCTGATTTTTCTTTTGAACAAATCAAGACTGGATTTTTACCGTTTAACAGATACACATTCATTTCGCTCGCTCCCCAGCCTCGCCTTGCACTTTTGGCGATGTCATGAAAACCACTCATGAACAAACACGGCCGGGTCAGTTTCCTTCCCACCAACATCGTCACAACCTTCGGTACCTCCGGGGGCAGCGCCGAGCTGCCAGGTACCGGGGCAGGCCCCGCTTGTCGCTGCCCCGGTTCGGAGGGCCGCGCACGGCACAGGGGACAGGGCTGAGGGGACAGGGCACAGGAGACATGGCACAGGGCAGAGGGGACAGGAGACATGGCACAGGGGACGGGGCTGAGGGGACAGGGCACAGGGCTGAGGGGCTGTACACAGGACACAGAGGACAGGGCATAGGGGACACCGCTGAGGGCACACAGCAGAGGGGTCACGGAGCGCTCCGCGGCGCTGCCCTGAGCCCCTCCCCGTGGGCGGGCGGGCGCGCGGGCGGGCGCACGGGCGGGGCCGCGGGCACCATGGCGGCCCTGGCGGTGGCGGCGGTGGCAGCGGGCCGGGCCGGGCGGGCGGCGGAGGAGAAGGCGGCGGCTTAGCGGGCTCGGCATGGCCCCGGCCCGGCTGTCGCTGCTGCCGCCGCTGCTGCTGCTGCTGGTGGCGGCCTGCGCCTGGCGGCCGGCGCGGGGCCAGGAGGCGCCGCAGACCCCGGACTGGCGGATGACGCTGAAGACGATCCGCAATGGCGTGCACAAGATCGACATGTACCTGAACGCGGCCCTGGACCTGCTGGGCGGCGAGGACGGGCTCTGCCAGTACAAGTGCAGCGACGGTGAGCGGGGCTGGGGCGCGACCCTTGTCCCGGGCAGGGCGGCCCAGCGCCGCTCCCGGGCGAACCTCGCTGAGTTCTCCCGGCGTGCTTTCCTATAAATAAATACGTGTTTGAACCGCGGCGAGCGAGCCCCTGCACGTGTATGTGTGTTTAAATACGAGTGTAACGTGCACGGAGCATGTGTACACGTAAGCTGGTCTCTTAAGGCGACTTTTAAGTAGCTCCTTTTAAACGTCTCCAAGACGTTTCCTTGGGGAAAGGCTTATTACTGTCAAATACGTAGCTGATATGTCCAGGGAAAAACCTGGGGTGGGAAGAGTTGCTCTCTCCCAGCTGGTTATTTATGAGCACTCCTGAGCATTTCGGTTTGGGACAGAAAAGCTTATTAACTCTGAGCTATGGAATGTGTTGTTTCGAGGTGACGCTTGAACAGCAGGTTTTAATGGCAGCCGCGTTTGCCGGAGGAAGGAATGCATCCTGCTGTTTGTAAGTGTCCTGCTGCTACCAGCAGAGGACAGCTGTGATCTGCGCTTCTTCCCTGCGCTTCAGCCGCCTGATTTACCTGAACTATAATTGAGGCAGCTCAAAGTGGCATGACCTGGTAGATGACGATGGTTATTATTATCATAATCATCATTATTATATTGGACTGTTATTATGAGGATGAGCCTGCTCGAGCGGGGCGTTGGGACCAGATGACTCACTGTGGTGCCTTCCAGCCTGACCCATTCCGTGATCGCCTCCCGTGCTGTGCCCATCCCCAGTGCCGGGCAGGCGGTGCTCCAGAAATGGGATCTTTCTTTCCAGGCTTTTCACTGGCGCCTCAAGAGCACCCCAGAATGGGAGGCTGGCATAGCCTGTCGTGGTGGGATCACATCAGCCCAGTTTATTGTGTCAGATTATTTGCTAAATCAGGAAAGGAGTCTGGTGGTGACACCTGGCTGGCTCTACAAGAGTGGCCAGGACACTGTGACATTTACACTCTGTACTGAAGTATGCATCTTTTAAATGTGGGGTTTTTTTCCCTATTACATTTAACTGTGGCTTCAGATTGTTTCCACTACTGAAATGAACGGGAGTGTCATTTTTCAAATTAACTAACCCAGTCTTTCTTAACTTGGGATGCAGAATTCCTTGGTTTGCTGCACTAGTGAGTTTAGCAGTCTCTATTAATTCAAATTCTATTATGTTACAGCTGTAGAAATAAAAATGATGTTTCAACCCAGCTAAGATAAAAAAATCAGAGAACTGCTGGTGGTTGCATATAGAGCATAGAAGTATTAATGAATTTACACTAAAGTACTCTGTTAATACACTCCTATATATTGCATACTTAACCAACACATGGATTTCAGTAATTTTTTTTAACATAGGAAGCAAACATTGACACTTGCTCAGGTGCCTTGTCCCCCTTTCTAAAAATAATTGCTTAGTACCCCTCAGTTGTAATTCAGAAAGAATTGTTGATATGCAGGTGCCTGAATATATGTTTAAGTTAAAAATACAACTGACACTGTCTTGAGCCAAACAAATGTCTGTGGTGAGTTTTAAAACTACTAAAACCCTGTGCAAAAAAAATTTTAAAACTACTAAAATCCTGTGCAAAAAAATCTATTTGAGACATGACAAATTCCCTTTTTCAGGATCAAGGCCCGTTCCTCGCTATGGATATAAACCATCACCACCAAATGGCTGTGGATCCCCTGTGTTTGGAGTTCAGGTAAGTATTTCCATTTTGGGGCTCCTTTCTGTGTCTTTCATACATCAGCTTTCCTCAGTATAGATGATTTTTTCCATTCCCCCTTCTGAGACAGCATCCATGTACAAGGTCCTTGTTCTTATCAGTTCCTAACATATGCTCTGGTAACAACATATGGGAAGTGTTAGTATTGTAAATGAACCTAGCATAAACATTTTCAGCGATTACAAGCATAAAATGTAATGATGATAAACTTCTTGGGTTTTGAGTGTTTGGTTTGGTGTTTTGTTTGCAGAGTCTTGAAAGCATTGCGTAACTGCAGCTGTAGCCCTGTGAGAGTGGAGGGTTTGGCTTTGACTCTTGCTGTTCTGACTCACACTAACCCTTTTTCCATAATGCTAGAAAGAAAATAGGAGTCAGCTTCTTGTCCTCCAGCTTTGGGACTTTCTTTTTTCCCCCAGCTCTGCCCATCCACCACCCCAGAGTG